TTAAACCTTAAACTTCAATTCAACAGTCATACCACAAAATAACTAAAAAGAGCATATATTTCGAATTTCCGATACACAGTCTCGGCGCGCTGGAGATAAAATTTTTTATTTTTCCCTACAGTGTTGTCATTGCTTGCTTTGAAATCGTTGACTTTGTCAATCAAAAATTTGTTAAAGTTTTACAAAATATTAAACAAATGCAAAGTTCCAAATTTGGGCTTCTATATGCTCATATTGGAGAGGAGGACTACATTATTCAAAATTAGATATCGCTAGGTACCGTTGTTTTTTCACAATGCGAGAAAGACACATACATTCATGGAGATTCTTCATTATTTAATTTCTTTAAATATAATGCAGGACTCTAATATTTGGTGGCAACAAATTCCAAAGTGAAACGCCGTTTTGTAGTGGACGACGCAAAACGCAGAAACGAAATTAATAGCCCTTCTAGGCAAATTGGCCCTTTGGATTGATAAAAAAATTTTCAAAAATTGGAACTAAATCGAATCTAATAAGATATCAATTAATGATAATATATATATATATATATATATATATATATTATATATACATAATTATAATATAAAAATAGTAAACTAAAATAAATATTGTATATATATGCAAGTATTCAGTCTTGCTGTGAGTAAGCAAAATAGAAATTTGTTAGATGCATGATGAATAAGCTGTCTATCAAAATAAAGCTGCTGATAAATAATCAACAACTATGTTAATTTTAAATGTAACTATTCTTGCATCTAAATAAACGCGAACTGTATCAAAATTAAATTAATGCAGAGATAAAATTTTAGTGCTTAATATTATATATTGACTAATAAAGCTTTTTCTTACAGTATATTAAAAAAATTCAAACAATATAGATTGATAAAAAATAAGTAGGAACTTGCTAATTTTTTACAGTAATCATATTCTAATAATAAGACTCACGAATGGCCGAATGGTTAAGTTAACTGAGTACTATATAATTATGTATTATATTAGTTCCTGTTCAGTTGGTCTCAAAGCTATTTAAACTGGCTGTATACATGGATGCTTTTTTCGGTTTTCCCCACACTTAACGTGAATACAAGACAGGTTTTTCTTAGAAAGCGCTCCAAGAAGACATCCCTTCTTTTAAACAGATAGCTTTAGTGTATTTTTCAGTATTCAAATAACCTAACCTATCCTTATCATAATAAATAACACTAGAAGGATTCTTATTTACAACACTAAAAATTATTTTTTTCTTACTTTTCTTTTCTTTTTTACTTTTTTGTACGATTTAAAGACTATAACCGTGGAAAATTCCGGGTATCGTATTTCAACCCAGATATCCATTTTGACTGTTCTCAAATTCCTTTGGGCGATTTATTGGCGTGACGTCTGTACGTAAGAGGAAAGTAAAAGACTCTTTCCAAAATCGACTGTGAAATGCATGTAAAACAGATTCAAAAGGAATTGTTTGTAACTTCTGTACGTACCTACCTACGTATATATGTAAGTATCTCTCATAACTAAAAAGCAGTTAGCTGTAGAGCGTTGAAATTTTGTATATGGAACTGCTTTAACATCTAGTTGTGAACTTTCCATTTTTAGTGCAATCGGCAATATACATATATATATATATGTGTACCCACCTCTTGTTCGGCCTTTATTTTCGAAATGATCGGTGACAGCCATATATTTCCAATTACAGTAATAATCATGCTTTGGCAATGTCAAATTAAAAAAAAAAAAAAAAAAAAAAAAAGTTCATTTTCGACAAGTCTAGAAATCTAAGTTTTCATGCAGTCTCCCAATTCCCATACTTATATTCGGGAAAGTTTTTCACTCATTATGAAAAAATAAAATTATAAGAAGTTTGACAAAAATTGACTGGGGGTATTTAATTTCAAAATTTGTAATTTTTGATGCAATTTTGAACTTTCCTTGAGGAACTGTCTGAACTAATTGGAGAAGTTAGAATAATTCATAGAAATAAGTTTAAGTGAAGTGCATCAAAAATGTGTATAAATTAATAGGCGTGGAAGGAAGTTATGTGATGTCTACATCAGATTATTTAAAAATCTATATTTAGAAATGTAAGTTTCAACACTGAGCTATTTTTAAATAAATACGCTTTAAGAAAACAAAAGGGTACTTTAATAAGTAGCAAAATTCAGTTTTAATTTCTTTCATCTGGAGTTGAGCTCTCTTATTTTCGCTTCTCTGCGAGCTTTAACATCAGCTTCAAGCCTTACACTTTTACATAAAATGTTTGAGATATCATGGTTTAAATTCATGTTATTAATCATGCATGAAAAATGATATTTTCTAAAAAGGGATCGTTTTCTGTTAGGCATAAACAGACTTTTTGCCAGCCGATTTTGAGTAAGATCTGCCATTTATCTTCGAGGCTATAAATTAACGCTCCTGAATATCGTAATTTAAGAATTTTATCTTTTTATATTAGCTTCTTAACAACATTTTTCAACAAGTGTTGTTTTATACCTCGCGTGGAGTAAACAAAATAGACTTCTAACAACCTATTAAACTTCAAAATTGCAAACTTCCTGAATTATGGCTACTATCGTTTGCATCCAAAATTAAACTCGGATAAAATTTCGTAGTAATGTATATATTGTTAGTCTGCGTATATATTTCTGTCTTTTTTCTGTTTTTTACCTTTTATTCAAACAGTAATATGTTGTTTTTACTATTTCAATTTTTCTTTTAAAATATTATGCGCTCTAAAATGAAATGCAGAGGAAGAAATGCTGTTGCTTTTTAGCTAACTTTTTCTTTATTTTTGAGCTGAGTATTAATAGTAAAATTCAATAGTAAAGATTTAATTCAATGAGTCGGTAAAAAAGATATTATTCGTATTTAAGCAGAGAAATGTTTGTATGATCGCCCTTTTAATTTGTCATCATTCTTATGCTTCAAAAATTTTTACTAGGATTTTAATAAGAAGAATTTTTAAAATAAGCAAAATGCCTTCTCATATTGATTAAGCAACCATTTGGCGCCATAGTGAAAGATGATGCCATTATAGTTAAGATCTGCGAATTTCAAGATACGTCTAATGTCGAGTATGTGCCTTTCTTCAAGGAGAAACGTGGAAAAATATTTATTTGAAATTCAGAAAATATTTTATTTTATTTTTTATATAATAGATTATTTTTATTTCTTGAAGAAGAAATCCGTGCTTCCTGTTATTTTTTCAAAAACAAAGACCTTTTCTCTATGACAATTGCTACATTAAAATGTAACTATGCACATTAATCTATGTTTCAATTTAACCTAATTTAAAAATTTAATTTCTGTCCCCTCCACAACCACGGGAATTGCATTCATCCCATATATTTATTTATTTATCTAAATTATTATAACACTTAGATAATTTTTCAAATCATGAATGTACATGGAACGAGCAAGCTAATGCGCTCAGAAATATATTACATAGCAAGTAAAAGTTAAACATTCCTTTAAAAGTGTTTCAAATTGTTCAACTTATTTTAGTAATGAAGAATTAGTATTTGTTTGCAGGTGATGATTTAAAAATACAAACACTATATTTTATATAGATGTGACAAGGTTATACAAAATTACATAACTCTAGTGCCTGTACAATTAAACTGACCCCATAATTTACCAAAATGAGTTATATAAGATTAAGATCAAATACCATAAACTTCTAATTACGCTTATTTAATTATGAACATAACAATATGATTTTTAGGAAATCTTTGTCAACCGTTTCTCCTTTGCAACTGATTTTCGTGAAATAAAATATTCGGTATTCTAACTAAAGATATAACGCGTAAAAAATTGTGGCGCATTAATGATAAAATTGATAAGGCTTATTAAAAAATAAAAAAAAATATTTTTAAAGAATAATATATAAGTAACCAAAAAATAAAATTTATGAATATAAAGAGATACGTCTAATGTATAAGCTCCAAAAGAAGTACATAATATTATTCTTACTGACCCCATAATTTAATAAGATACTAGTTGTATTATTACTTATAAAAATTTTAAAATACTTTTTCCATCTCCACTAATTTTTCCAAAATTCATGACTTAAGGCATAAGAGTTTAATTTTATATGAATTTATCATCTATTAATAAAACACATCATTATGAAACTGCAGCGGTTTTATTAGTTAATTAAAATTAACATAGATTATTAATTAATAATAATTTTATTAAAAAATTTTCTGAAAGACATATATATATATATATGTAATCTCAATTTTATGGGGGACTTTTAAATTTTCTTAGTTATTAATAAGCATTTAAAAGTAATTTTAACTTTGTTTGATATCGAAAAAACTTATGAATTTAAGGAAGTTAAAATTTAGTTTTAACTTAAACTACATATACATATATATATATATATGCATGCACATATATTCAGAATCTTGCAGATAGGCATTTCTGACCGTTAAAAAAAGGACTGCAACTCAATAGCAGACACTACGTATACCAGATGGACATTTTTCATAAATTTCTATTGAAATGTGTGGAGTATTGTTGACAATGACTTGCCAAAACTGAATAGAACATCATCGAACACTTAGAGAACCTTCATTCGGATACAAATCAACCCTTGAGGGAACTTTTCCATCATAATAATATTACAAGCACATGGGCACTCCCCCTTTGCCATCGGATTGGATAACAAAGCCACTAAGCCAGCCAATCACACTCACCTTTCGTACCGCTCTTTGCCGTCATGAGACCGTGTCCATCCGTCCCGCTATCGCTTGCCAAAATACCGATTCTATCCTCTTCATCCATAGCTACCTCTCTGTCACCTCTCCCTGCTCCCTCACTCCCTACCTGCTTTCTTTTTTCTTTCTCCGATTCGAACTGTCAATTTGGCCCTGTATCCGCCCACATCTGCTCCTGCCATTGGACAAGTATGACGTCACTCTGAGAGGCGTGACTAAATCGTGAGCCAAGTGGGGTGGCCATCTGCACTCTGTGTCTGAACCGCGCGAAAACATCGTGAGTCTGCTGAGGTGGTAGAGACACTTTTTTCGACGGCTTACACCAAACGACGAGTGTTCGATTCCTTTTCGAATTGGCTGAACCCTCCCCCTTGGCTTCTTGGGGTTCCGGAACTTTACTCTGCGGAAAGCATTTTACCCCCCATTCTCTGCCAACATTTTCTTCCCCCCATTTTTGCATCTAAGAACTAATTTCAAACAAAGGTGAGAAAACCTAGGTGCAGCGAGTGCTTTTGATTTGAAAGTGATTTTAAATGCAGAAAATAAACAATTCTTATTACAGAATTTGCAAATTGTTAATTAATTTTAAGGAAGACTTTTTTGGATGATTTCACAGTTTAGTCTCGGCAAAAGTACAGAGTGACTAGATCAATATGAAATGGTGTTTAATGACAACATAATTTTTCTAATGGCAGATAAAGTCTTTCTTAACCGCATTAGAAGCTGAAATTTATTGATTAGCTATTGAAATTATTCAAGAGACAGATTACACTGCTAGAATCAAAAAAGAACAAAATTTTTAATTGCTTGAGAAGTTGTGCGTTTTGTGATATAATTCCTCCAGAGTTATTTAGTGGTTAAAAGCCAACACGTGAATTTTTTAATATTTGTGGTTACGATCAAAGCGTCAAGACATGCTGCAAATCTTCAGATACTGCTATGAGGTAATTTAGAGTCTGTGAGCCTGTCATTAGCTATGGAAAAAGAAAGCTGCCACCAGAAGACAAAAATGGGACAAAAAACATTGTGAACATTTTGGTGAATTTTAACTCGATTTATAGATATCTAGTTCTCTACATAAGGTGGACCCATCGGAGGGCAACAGCCCTTACAAGGGCCCCCTCACGTAAGCTCTGGAGTACGGTGTGAACTTAGGAGCGGGCAGCAGCTCCTACGGTAAGCCTTACAGTCGCTTCATGGTATCAGTAATGAACGTTCTTCACGGGGACCCGCACAATCGTGCCGGGGCGCCCTTAGGACATCACCCTCTCATTTCTATGCTGTCAAATACTGGCGTCAACACAAGCAATTCGGGACCCACTAGTAATCCAGGGGGTCCCAGCCAGTCGGCCGTATCCCATCAGCGATCTCCATTTGCAATCCAGGAATTGCTTGGTTTGGGAAATAGCGACAACACAACCAGTTCTCCGACGCCGGCTTCGCCTCGGCCTCACGCTGGCCATCCTCACCTCCCGGCCGTATCGTCATCAGCTCTCGTACCGACGGGAGGACACCCCTCGCACTGCTCGCCTTACCAGCATCGTCCACATCAGCCTACGCCAGCACAATGCTTTTCCGATCCCAGTCGTCTTTATTTTGGTACTGCTTTCATGCCCAACATGGCTGGCACCATGCATGGCATGACGGCACCACCGATGCCCACCATGCTAGGATTCGACCAAGGACCACAACCACATCAAGCTAGGGCTGATACTAATGGTGAGTGCAGAAAAATATAATTTTTATATGTTATGTAAGTTGGTATGATTGTGCCCTATTAATGTTTCTTTTTATGAAATTTGGTATGATTGTATCTTATTAATGCTTATTTTTATGAAAACTGGTAGTTAAGCAGAACTTGTCGTTTTAAAATTAGTAAATCTGTTACACAGGAAGAATTCCGAGGTTAACGAACCTGCCAAGATTTTCAAAACTATACAAATCTACGCCTATTACTATTTAATACATATAAATTAAACGAAATTCCTCATCTTATGTGAAAGGAGTAATGCTTTGCCTTGAAAATCCGTAAATTCATATTCCTAAAACATCTAAGAAATATGTCGTTATAGATTATTTGTAGGACTAATAATAGATTTTGATATGTAGTTATTCAGAATCCATAGTTTATGATCATTAAGGAATGCTTAGTTTACAGTATTTTTAAGTTGTATTTTGTCAAAGTTCTTATTTTTTAAGTCATCTATGGAACCTGCGGTTATCTAGAACTATTTCTAAACAAATTTACTACTGTATTTCTTTTAGAAAATTTGAACATGAAATTCAAAATTGCGTATATTTATAAATTGTGTCTCTAAATGTCCATTAAAATTTTATGCTTTTATTGTAAGAAAAACTAGACAGACAATACTTTAATATATTCAATCGAATTTAGTATTAGTTTTAATTGCCTAATATAAACAGAGGCAGGTGGTTTACTGTAGAAGATGCTAGACATAAGCTGGAATATATTTTCGAACAAAATGGTGAGCTGAATATATCTGAACAAGATATTATAGAGATTAATATTGTCATTTATAATAACGTTTATTGTAAGTGATATAAAATTGTTGTTTCATTCATTTATTCTCTTCTGAGTGTACTGACAGTTTAGATCAAATTACTTTAAAATAAAAAATACCCTCTTTAAAACGAAATAAAAGATTTATACAAATACATACACAGATATATGTGTATATATATAAATTCTAGTGCGAGTCTCATGGACCAAGAATTAAGTTTTACTGAATGACATTTCTATTTTTTCGGAAAATATCATGTGTATATCTGTATCTTTATTACTTTCAGTGAAAACAAAATGTATTCAATTTTAGCATGAAGTTATTAAACATTTATATATATGATTGATATATATTTTAAAACTGTAAGAAAAAATTTAATTTACTTACATGGATACGGTTAGCATTTTATACTAATTACGTCTACATTTTTAACAAATCAATTAAAGGCATTCAAATGTATTAACCTATGAAAAATTAATTTTCCGTTTCCTTCTCCCTAAAAAAATTAGTTAATTTAATGTGCAATGGAAGTCCATAATATTAATATTTATGTTTATTATCATGTAAGAACATAGCTAAAATCTATGAGTACTTATTTAATTAGCTATTTAAATCCTAATATCGTCTCACATAACACTTTCGGAAATCGCTGCTGTCAAAGGTATAACATTATTTTCCTCGGAAGAAAATTAATACTTTAATTATTATTAATATTTTCCTGAAATATTAATAATCGAACTGTAGAAGAATATTAATATTTTCCTGAAACCGACTCAGCCATTTTTCGTAAAATAATAAATCTTAATGTATTGCGAATTAGAATATTTTTGATCTTGTGAATTTGCATGCATGATGATACTGCAGTTCCCCTCCTTTTGAAATACTATGAATTTGCATTTATATGGAATTTTTAATTATTCTTTATATCTTTTTACATTTATCCGCTTGAACGGAAAAATACAAATGAAAAAAAAAAAAAAAATTCTGAAAACTACTGCATTTTTCTCTTATTTTTCAAGAAATATTAAAATGCAAAATAAGATCCGTTATGACTGATTTACAAAGAATCATCAATATCATTATCATACTTATATGTAAAAAGGTTAATTGATTCAGAAGACGAAGACGACTTTATTTTAATGGTAGATTGCCAGTTAGCATAAATTTCTTGCACAGTGTAATAGTCAAGGGCGATTAAGAAAGAAAATAAACTGTTTCTTTAAGTATAAACGATGGGAAAGGCTGAAACACAAATATATTAAAGGGAAAATGAATATAAAAATAACAATTTTAAAGTTTGTTGTACTTTTTCTCTTGATTGGTCTTATTGTTATTTGATAAATACCGTAAAAAAGTTAAAGTGATGACAATTTGGAATTTACTTTGAAACTATAAAAGTAATAATGCTTTGAAAATTCAAGCTTGTAAACCTCATAATTATGCAGCATCTGCTATTGTAATATATATGCTCAAATTTTATTTTAGGGTCTAAATTTCATATAGAATCTAAAAAATTTTGATATTATCATAGAAGAAGTATTATGATATGATAGAAACTAAAAACTTCGATATAATCATAGAAGAATAATTATGATATGGAATTATATAAAAACTTTGATATAATGACAGAAGAATGATTATGTTATAATTATTATGAGAAGATCTTACCTTAGAATTCTTTATAATCATATAAAGAATGTGATTGCAGTAAAATTGTAATAGTATTCTTTTATTATTTTTTCTTTTATTCTTTTACTCTAGCTCGATTAAAACTAATTTTTTTTTTTTTGCACAACATCATTTTTAACTGCATTAAAAGCAGTCTCTTATTTAGTAGATAGATTTTAATTTTTCTCTCAGGATGTCAGTAGAATTATACTAGTTTCATTTACATTCCATTACTCATATTTTAGCTAAAGAATGCATTGTTTTCTCAAGTTTTAAAAAGAAATGTTTTGTCGAAAATTCATGCAATGGTATACACTTTATTTCACCTTGTATAACATAATGAGTGAGGCTTTTGACAGCATTTATTAGAATTGAAATATTTGATAACATTTAATACAGTTGGAAAGAGAAGAGGGAAATACGTTTGATTTAATCTCCAAACTAATGAATTTTTGCAACATCTATTAAAGTTTAATAATAATAATATCTGTTAGAAGTAAATGTCTCACAGATACTGCCTAAGCAAAGCAGTTTTCAAAATTGATGAAAAATACTTCTAGAATTTTAGTACAATGACTTTTCTAGTTTGCCAGAAACAAATGTATATGGAAAAAATTGCTTTATAGTTAGTTTTCTGAACCACTAATTGTAAAAAATAAAAACAATTCGGGCTAGATTTAATAGTTAGCATAATTCAATATCTTCTGAAGTTGGTAGATTCTGACATTTTCACATTACTTTAAATTTAAAGGAAAGACTAACACAATTTGAATTTATTGACTATTAAGTTGAAATATGCTTTACTACAAGTTAGAAGATCAACAGTTTATTGTGATTAAATAGTTAATACGATCTTTTCCTCGAGTTTTTTTTTTTGGGGGGGGGGGACAAAATACTGAGGACATTTAAAAACAACTTACAATTATTAAACTTTTTTGGTAAGCTGCAATTAATAAAAAAAAAAAAAAAAAAAAGACTTTTAATGATTTGATGATTACTCATATTTATTGGAAATCTTTTAAAAATACTGTTGTTAGTTTCCTATATTCATAGAAATTTTAAGTTCCTTAGCCTTTTCTTCAATCCTTTTCTCTTTGAATTTCGATTTTGTTTGTTTACAGATAATTGCTGTTTTACATCTTTTTAAGTTTATTTCGCTTTCAAAGTACTTGATCATCATAGATCTTGAAATTCCAAGCTATTTGATACCATTCCGATTCAGCACGCTTCATTATATGTGATTTTATTTGCAGCAACAGAATTCCGATTATGCCAGCTTTGATCAAGTGAGGTTCATCTTTTTCTATGACACAATATATTGTTTTTTTTATTATTTTTTTTAATAATTGGTAAATATGCATCTGTGACTGCTAATCTGAACGGGAGCGGGTCCTTTCGAGATATCTGATGTAAGTGCTTTAAATGTATCAAAAAATGGAATAGTAGGAAGACGATCACTTCGTGACAACAAAGAAACGAGACGCTACTTCGAAACAAAATGATCTGCGTCACCGGTTCTGAAAGTTTATGACTTCGAGAATTTTTTTCATATGATGCATAGTTTGCCGAAACGTAAACCATCCATTTTGTATCATTACTTGGTACAACATAAGAAAACATTTTCATGTGTACTAACAATTTATATTCCCCTTCGCAAATTATTAGGATATTAAGTTTAGCTTAAAAATTTCGCAAAAATTAGATTTATTAAAATGAAAAAGGACGTGTCATAGCAATAGTTTTGTTACAAATATTTACCGATTTTTCCTTTGGAAATTTTGGAGCAGTTTCTTTGCCCCAGATGTGTAAAACCTGATTACAGTGGTTGAAATGTGCATGTATAAATCCAATTTGGTATTTTTCTATTTGTTTTGTGTGTGTATTTATATATATATAAAGTCTATAAAATGTTTTTATGCACAAATAAGTTATGCCGAAAAGAAATAATTACTTGATAACTTTTCCTTTCTTAATATAGAGTACTCTTCGCACAGAACCACATGTCAAGAAAGTTATTATGCTTGTAACTGTTTAGTGAAATCTCCGCATTCTAATATCGCAAACTGAACATATTCTAAGAAATGTTTTAATGAAGTCAAGTTTTGGATTTCATGAATTTTTCGAATAGGAAGTTTTTTGTTAAAAAGTAAAATATCAAATCAGATTTTAATTTAAATAATCACCAGTCAATCTCTCACTATTAACTCCAGAACGTTCTACTGAACTAACTAATTTTTTTTTTTTTTTTTTTTTTAAATTTCTCTGTTCTAGTATATTGTTTTAGAAAATTCTAAATTATAAAATGTGCCATAAAATGATTTGTTCTTGTTTCCTTGTTATTATTTTTAATTCTGATATAAGAAGAAATAGTCACATAAATATTCATTGTAATATACATTACGATAAAATATTGCGAATAATTTCCAAATAAATTCTTCAATCTCCATAATGTGTATCTCATCATTTCATATATTCTTTATACCATGACGTATCTAGCCATAGTTCCTTCCTTATTTTCACCAATTTTAAACAACAGTTCTCTGAGTTCG